TATATATATATATATATATATATATATATATACACACAAGCGAAATTTGAAAATTTAAATTTTGTGAAAATCGAATAAGACTCACAATTATTTTTAAAAATACCAATTACAATTTCCTACTCATATATATGTGTACATACAAGTGTACATACCGACATTTTTTATTTGTTTAAATATAGCGCTGAGTTTTAAGAATATAGTTTGCCTTAAGCGCTATCATTTAATGTTCTTGTCTATTATATAAGTTTCAGTCAGTTATAAAAAAAATAATTCGTGACAAGAAGATAGTAAAACAGCATTAATATACAACATGGCTATGGTGTTTTATCTAAAAAAACAAAAAGGTGTGACACCTTTACCGTGTAGTCGGCGAAGAAAAAAAATACACGTTTCGTAACACTTTTTCATCAGCACAATGTTATATTTCACTACATAAGATAAATACCAATGAAGAATTGGTCTTATGATTTTACTGTACAACATACTTCCTTATAACCTTAAAGAGCTATAATCACTAATATGATATGCCCAAATTTGTTAAACAGGATCTATTGGTTGTTTATTTTTATTCGGACCGCATCTTAACAGTTTAATGAGAAACGAATCAAATGTCAAAATTAACAGTGAAATAGATACAAAACTTACTTTTAGCACACACTTTCCAACTTGCTCGTCTTCCTTAATTGTTACATTATAAAAACTTTGATCGAATATAGGCTCGTTATCGTTGACATCGCTGATCGTCACTATGACAGTAGCACTGGAAGATAAGGGAGGTGACCCTCCATCAGAAGCCACCACTACAACCTGGGGAGTAGGGTTCGTCTCGCAATCGATTTGTCTCCTTGTAGTGATAAGACCTGTTTTGTTATCAATCTGAAACCATTTTGAGTCTGTTTGTGGCGTATCTTTAATAGAATATACGATCTCAGAATTGTTTCCTTCATCGCGATCCACAGCAGATAGATGAAATACCGACGTCCCGGGATCTGCAACTTCCAGCACATTTGCATAATACACTGTGTGATCAAATTCTGGAGCATTGTCGTTCGTATCGGTAACTGCTAGTTCAAATGCTCGAGAAGTATTCAGTGGAGGATTTCCTTGGTCAGTGGCTTTGACGGTCATTGTGTAAGTGGGTTTGATCTCTCTGTCTAATGGACGAGAAACTACCACTAGGTAAACTATGTTATCTTGTGTGGTCAACCCAAAATGACCATTGCCTCCATCTAAAGTTACGTTAATATTTGCATATTCTTCTTTTAAATCGGGGTCATTCACACTAATCCTCGCAACGTATTCTCCAATACTCGCACTTTCAGAAATTTTTGGAGAGGCGTCATCGCTCAGAAAGATGAGATTGATTGTTGGTTGGTTGTCATTAACATCTGTGACTCGGATGGACACAAAAGCTGTGGTCTCCAAAGGCTGAGCTCCATTGTCTTGTGCTACAACAACTAATTCGTGCACATCATGGGATTCGAAATCTAATGGTTTATTAACAAAAATTACACCGGTTTTAGAATCGATCACGAAGTATTTTTCTCTGTCACTTTGGCGCCTATTTATAGAATAAGAAATATTTCCGTTTTCATCCGTATCAGTATCGGTAGCAAAGACTCGTAACACACTAGTACCAATAGTTGCATTCTCAGCAACAGTAGCAAAATAACGGCTCTGATTAAATATTGGCTGATTATCATTCACATCTTGAATAGTAATATTTACCCTCATTGTACCTTTGGTCGGCGGGATTCCACCATCAAATGCTTCAATCACTAAACTATAGAAAGGTGTTGTTTCACGGTCCAAAAAGCCATTAATTTGTAGATCAAGATACAACACATCGTCTTTTTCACGATGTGACGAGAGGCGAAATGCGTTGTTTATGTTTCCAGATATAATTTCATATCTTTGAGTATTGAAAATTCCTAGATCACGATCTTTGGCGGGATTCAGTGTGCGCTTCACGTCACGCGGAGTATTTTCTGGAAAAGCAATAGTCATCATCGGAGTTGGAAACTGTGGGGCATTATCATTTTCATCGATCACCTTAATCGTGACTCGAATATTTTCTCCGCTCAGAGGAATAGCAACGAAAGAATAATGACTGCGCATCTCGCGGTCCAAAACAATACTCGTTCTAATCTCACCAGTTGATTGGTCGATATGGAGATCAGAATCAACCGCACTTCCAGGCACAGGAACAATCAAATATGGTGGTTGGGGCGGTTTTGGATTACGGTAAATCTTTTGCCCTATGAATCCAATTGTTGTACCAATGCCCACTCCTTCGGAAATTTCGAATTCTTGAAGATATTCTCCGTTACACTCCAGGAAAACTATAATAAAATGTAGTAAATGAATCACAGAAAAATATTTCCAATATTCTCTGATGGCCATCATGACAAACTTTTATTACTCCTCTTTGACCCAAACAAACGTCAACGGGCCAAGAAAAGCTTAACGTTTCGACCCATATAAAAACACCATAAATCTTCTTTTAATCCTTATTAATCAGTGCGTGAAAAATTCGGTTGGATCTGAATCGAGAACTCTTCTTTATTTTCATCGTTATAAAAAAACATTCTTGTTATAATGATGAAGTATTACTTCCAGCTGAGGTCAACGTCCTTAGTAGAGTCCTGGAAAGAAAAGAAATATATATATTTACTCTACCTCCTAAAGATAAAGTTACTACGTGATATGTCTTCAATAAAGATAAGGTTACAACGTGATATGTCTTCATTGAAATGTACACTCCTGAAATATCTTCAGAGTAAAGTCTGTATGTACAAAAGAAAACGATTAAGGGCTACCTGCTGCAGTAAATGCATACTGCACCGCTGTAATGCATTATAATAGTTAGTAGGCTGTATATTTTACTAGGTAGGTCAGGTCTTTAATTTCGTGACCAACGTGTTTATAAGGAAGAAGAAGTTGATAGGCGTGTAAGCTTTCGTACGTGAGTTCACATGAGCTCAAATTAAAGAACAGATATTATATGTAAACTGTGTATATCCCATACACATAGAGTAGCTTATAAGCCTACAAACCAATAAGTATTACACTTCACGAAAAAGAAGTGTAAATACACTTACATATACATACTCTATATATATTATACTTTTGTCAAAAAAAGCACCATGTTTTCAAGAAAGTTGTAATGCATATGTGCAAACAAAATATTTGAAACTTCAAACATTTTGTACAAAAATCAAATAATGATGTATTTTTCAGGCAAAAAGAGATCTTGTATTCTGTATAGTTAAGTAGTTAATTACAATTCATGAGTTATAAAGAGGCTGATGTAAGTTCGCCATAAACAACACATTTTCTTACACTATTTCTATAAGGACTTAATCGTAGTTTGTTTGAACGATTTGTATGTGAAAATGCAATGACATGTCGCTGCAGATGCAAACCATAACATCACGAGCAACGTCGACAGGCTAATGCTGTCATGAATAGTTATTGCTAAACAAATATTAAATTATTTAAGGCCAAATGACAGAACAATTGGAAGAAGTAAGTCCTTCAATGATGTACTTGGAAGTGGAAACTCCCACAAATTAGTGTTTAGGACAGCAGAGGGCTCCGCAACTATATCCCAAACGAATTCGGATCAATGTCTTTGCCCGAAAATTAAATCATGTGGTTATAAAGAGAACCTTCCGACCCAAATATCGTTGCAGGAAAGCGAACATATCTCTTGGTACGGTTACTAAAAAGATAAACGGGGATTTGAAGGTGAAAAAGGCTCACAAGCAAAAAATATACAAGCTTATAGACACACCTTAAAGTGAACTTTGCTGTTTTCACGAGAAAGATAGCCAAAGAACAGAATCACAACAATCCCATTGGGACACATACACCTATCACCGGATTAAAATTGAATGGGCTTTTGATCTACTTGAGTAGTCTTGGGAGTTGTTAGTTTGTCCAGATGTATAGGCTGACCTCGCCATCTTTCACAGAAGCTTCCCTACAATGAATATTGCTGTGTCGAACGATATTGCGTAATCATGAGCACAAGAAGAAAGAGAACGACTGACGATGAAGGAAGTACTAGCAAGGGCAGAACATCATTCTTATTATGTCAGATTAACTTCAGTATTCTGTCTGAAAATGTTTCATTTAAAATTGATAAAGTGTGACTTTTAGATGTTGATTATGTATTCATTCCATAAACTTTGCAATTTACTACCAACCTATATAGTGGTTACTTGATGTCTTGCTGGCTATTATTATACTCGTTATTTGAAATATTGTTATGAATATATTCGCTTGTTACTTAATATTTATTGCCAGATTATATAATGATCATCGAGTCATTCATTGCTTATGTGCTGTCTTACAACCAACGTATATACATAGTGGTCAGTTGGAATATAACAGCTAACTAATATACTAGTTTATATGGTATCTAACGACAAACCCGTATTCTAGTTAGAATATATCTTAAAGCCCATTTATTATTTAACACATTGAACAAGTGTTAAAAATATATGTTATATTAAACGAGTTTTGAGTTGTTGTTTCTTTTGTATTTTTTCATAGCACTGTTTTCTAAATATGTTATTCTAGTGTCAATTAATCCCTAATGAGATACTTTTAAATGTTTTGTTAAAGTTCCCGTAATACAATCTTTTTAAGAAGTTACGCTATATACCTTTACTTATAGAAATGAACGTCTTTCTACTGTTTCAATGTGATTTTAGGTGTCTTTCAAATCCTTATATCCTATCAGTATTTACTTCTTTCATGTGCCACACTGTGTAGCGCTACGTGCTACTACTTAATATTGAATAAATAATTTGAGTACATTTAGTCATCTTCTACTCTTCTATTCGATACCTTCGTTTGTATGAGAGCTTGTTGAACTTTATAGATTACATTTCAGTTCATATAATCGAATTATTTATGCCTGGAAAACTCTACCGATTAATTACTTTAATATTGAACATTAAGATAAAGCTTATCAATATATTACAGGGAATGTTTTCACTTTTGCATTCCATTTTTTAACATCTGGAAACGCGTATATTTTACATATAATGTTGCATTTGTACTTGTACAAACAAACAAGTTCCTATTGATTTTTGTAATTTCATAAGTGGAAGTCATTTCGAACGGGTTTCGGAACCCCTAATTGTGGTTAACATGAAACGCAGTTACTTGATAAGGGAAATTTTAGTACCTGGTGGCCCCATCTTAATTTTTATGTGCAATATTATTTTGCGTCATAATTCAGATTGAAATTCATAATTCTAATTACTCTAACTTAATTATACGTATTGGATAAAATTTTATCTTGATAAAAGAGTTAACACAAAGAATCACATATAAAGTGTAATAAACTTGAAATAGGACTCAAAACTCGAGCGCTTTCGAATAGTTGACTATTCTTCTTCAGGAGAACAAAGGATAAAAAGTCTACGTGACAACTTCAAGTAACTACTTTTTAGAAATTTAAGTATGATGCATATCAATACATTACCCATCTCCTAGTTTCCAAATTAACATGAATATTAAAACTGTGGCTTCATTTACTTTTAAAGATACTATTTCGCTAATTTTTGGCAAATTCAGTAACACCTAGAACAACTATAATTTAAAACGTTGGTCACACGTGTATCTATAAGGAATGAAAATATTCAATTATTTTGTTATGTGGACACATTACACATTAGTGTTAATATGATAATTACTACACTAAAAGGAACTTGAAAACGTTTCTAGTTCTAGGAACATTCAATTGAGAAAGGTAGAATTTCATTCTCAAATTAGCTTCCACCTGTATGCAGCTATAGATATCAAAAGTTTTCAAACTGATGAAGTGCATGTTCAGCTTTCAAAAACCATCACAAAATAACAGACTTGATAAATCAAAATTATAAAATATAGTTTAGTAGAAAATATATACATTTTAGTCCCCAGAGGTGATACAAAAACATTATATAAAGTTTCTTTGAACACAAGTTTTGAAAGTAAACATTTGTTTCACAATTAGTTCCCCTAAGCCTCTCTAATCTTACAAATCGTCTTCTTATTTCTATGTTTCTCAGTTTTATTACTTATCCTGTTGTATATCACTACAGACCGATAAAACTGATTTGATAAAATCATATATATAGTTTTTTTTCTTACACACTTGTCATAAAATTTTCTCTCAAACTTTTTGTAGGCTGGGATATTAACTGGCTAACGCAGTCAGTTATCCTTCAAGAATAAGTCTTGCTTAGGGCACTGTACAGGAAAAAAGAAGTCTAATGGCAGATAGGATGCATCTAGTACTCTATAGTTAACTGTATGCTACTTCATGCCAGTCCCCCCTAGCTCCCCTTGATTTCCCCACCCATCACGGCCCTCTTACTTTAAGCCATGTCAAAAACGTCTGGTTAGTGTCTCAGCAATACGTTTCCGTCGACTGGACTAATAATGTCTGTAATGAATAACTACCATCGAACAAGTTTCTATTCATTCCTTCTTGCGTCTGTATTTTGTTTTTGTCATTTCGTAAAGACATTAGGAAGAAAAGCGATTAAAACCTAGCCTAATCTTGCTATAAATGTTATTTTTTATTTTCTTGTACTTCTCAGAGGACATATCAAAGATAAAAAAAACATGAAACACTAAACAAAATGTAGCGAAAACTTTCGTACGTAGAATGACTGACTAATAATATTTATATTTTTCTTTGAGATTCTGTAAGTTTGTAGCTGCGATCTTTCTATATTATTTCATGTTAGAATTTTCATAACATAGTAGGTAGGCCTGACTGCGCTATTAGCATTAGCTATTGAAAATTTACCATAAATTGCGGTTATTTCATTTATAGAAACAATAATGGTAAACCATTTCTTAGATATACGTAAGTCCCACATTATGGTGAATTACTTAGAAAGAAAAACATACATGGTATGCAAACTGCAGGTTTGAAACTTTTGTAGTCAAAAGAAATGAAAAGAGTAGGTCTTTTCCATTTGACTCTCCGCTTCCTAATGACCACGATATGTGTATATAGTTTGCAAGGATTGAACTAACACTTACGTGATACATAAAAACCGATGTACTCTTATTAAGATATTTTTTGGAAGAAGCAAAGCATACAAAGAAGCACATACAGAAATATATATATATATATACACATATTACTTTAAAGACCTTTTTAAGCTTTTGACAAATATTAGTTTAATAAAACCTTAGGTGAAAGAGTTACTGACACATTACATATGTACATATGTGTGTGTGTTGTGTTTACAGCAAAACCTAAGGGCTTACTTATAATATAAAATTTTCAAAAATAGTTCAATATAGTTAAATTACAATTGATGTATCAAAAGATTATATAGTTGAAAGCATTTGAAGTTAATGTCTTTAGTCTTTATCTCACGAAACTTTTGATTCACTTTTCCTAAATTACTTAAAAGATAATTCCTAACCCTAAAATCACCGTAAAGAAAAATGCACGGCGTAAATATAATGCAGGTTTCTTATACTTTACATAAAATTATGCGAGTATCCTCTTCTTTTCAGTAGGTCACAATAAACTAAACGTCTCGTCGGATGGCTAGCCAAGGGTTCAGACACGGTTCCGGCGGATCTGATCAAAAGATTTGCCGTCAGTATAACAAGAGTACTACACAGAATCTTAACAGTTAGAATCCACACAGATCGGAGTTTCTACGGTTTTAAAGACAAAGAAAAATTCTTCTGCCACTAAATAAAATGAAAGCAATTGTTATAAATTCCATTCAGTTTTGTGTATTAATCCATTGACATCGCAAATGTCAGGTTGCCGCGGTCTTACTGTGACTGCAGGCGTTATAAAATATAAATACGCTTCTTGTAGAATGACGGTTTGACGCCACACACGGAATGAATAAGTCTATAAAATCCTTGTCTTGTAAGGCTTACTTCCAGGTGAATATCTTGATTATATTCATTTCCATAAATTGGTAAATACAAAACTTATCCGGTGGACACCTTCGGTTTCTAGAACCTAAGCAATGGGACCCCACAGCTAACGCTTTATTTCAGGAGTTAGCTAGGTGCTGCACACTTGGTCACGCACATACCACCCCTTCAGATTTCTCAAACTTCTTAGCCAATCAGCGAGTGGGAACTTAGTGAGCGGCAAACAACCGAACTACTAGAGGAGGAATAATGCTCTAGGCCATATAAAGACAGTTTTTAGAAGTCGAAGATATTTTATTTTTACTTTGGTTCACAGGTGGTTTCCACACAATGCGGGAGCTCCTGGGCAGATGCATCTGTCCCCTAGTGTTGTGCCCAGTGACCACTAAAACCCAATACCAGTTAATATACGGTATTGTGCTGCTCAGTCAGGTCAACATAAAAAACTAACAAAGAACTTTCCATTCCTCTTATGGGCTTCAGTCTAACAAAAATAACATACTAAGGTAAAAGTTTAGATAATGTCTTCTGTATTCCCCAGTTTCCTTTTGATTCTTTTATAATTATACCTTAAATGTATATATGTATAATTATAGTAAATTTTTATAGACATAAATTCTGTGTAACAGGGTTATGGAAAGTCCAGATATTTTTCTTCGAGAATTTTAAGTGAATAGCTTGTTTGTAATTAAGTACAAAGCTACACGATGGACTATCTGTGCTCTGCTCACCACGGGTATCGAAACCCGGATTAAGTGAATAGAGGCTACACATATGGTGCCAGTTACATAAAAATGTGAGTTGAAGTAATGATGAATAAATCTTATTATCGTATATTTTAACAGGCAACAACCACTGAATAAACACTTCTGTCACTATGATTTTAAGAATACGATTTTTGAAAAAGAAATTAGCCAAATTACTTGATATAATGTAACAATAATAACGATTTTTTAAACGCATGGGCATAAACGTATCAACTGTTGTAATTACAAGGAAAATAACTGATAATGAGATTACTTAATTAACATTCAAACTTGCAATTTCTTCAGCCTATTTTCTGAGCAAAAGTGTGATGAATATAAGAAAACCCATATTTGTCTTCGAAGTCTTTAAGGACTCATAAAAAGCAATTTACATTTTTCCCTAATGTTAATTTTATTTCCTTATAAGCTAAATGTTTTACCCATCTCTATAATATCTTCTGAAACAGCTAACGTCTAGTTAAGATACACAAAACGTTCAGTTATTAGTTATCAAATAACTGAATCAAACACACATACAAATTGGCCTTACTCGAAGCACTATTGATACTCGAACACTAGGTTTGTAAAATCATTGAAGTTGCCTGTTTTACTAACTTCATAATGCGTCAAAATACTTTTTTTTACTATTTATAGTTTAATATGGTTTTGCACAAATTAGAAAAGTATTATATTACTTTATAAGTTATTTAATAATGTCTATTATACTTTAACTTTACTGAGATGGATAGTGAAATATTTCATAACACAGTGTTTTACAATATGTTTTTGTTTTGTTTTCTTACACAGGTGAATTACTTCTGGAATGACATATTTATACTATGTAATTAAGAAATTGATATGTATTCTTGGACGATATTCCCTAACTAAATTTTAACCAAGATTATCAAGTAAAACAGCTTATGAAGTCTTATATTAGCACTAAATTAGCGCAAAATGTATTTAATATATTCTAACCGAGTTTGCCACATTTGTTACTGATAGCTATGTATTATCGGATATTCTATTTAAGATTAAACCAGTTCATTAAAATTCTTCTAAGTAACACCCACTAAAAGTTATTTTCCAGCCTGATTTTCAGTTTTCAAAGATTGTTCTATACTTCGCTTATACTTAAGTTTTTAAAATAGAGTTATTGTTGAAACACCCTTTTTTTAACTGAAGAAACAATTGTACATAACCCACGTAAGACGACACCCACGCAAGACGATATTCTTTATAAACTGACGTTAAATATTGTTTATGTATTTATAAAAATTGCGTTTACAGTTCTTCTTTGACATCAGTTGTTCACATTAAAATTATTTCATTCTTGTTTGAATTTTAAATTTTTTATGTTGTTTTATTTTCATATATTGATAAATTGACTTTTATCGTGTTGTTAATATTTTATTCAACACAGCGAGTGCGAATTTCTATCAATTGTTTTTTGTGCATACCGAAATAACTACCAGGATAATTACAATTCTGTGTTTCACTTCTGTTATAATATTTTAAAGTATTGAAATATAATTTGAATTTAACAAAATTTCTTCTCTATTATTATTAAAAGAGCTAATCAACAAACAAAAAAAAAGAGTTTGTTTGTTTGTTTTGAATTTCGCGCAAAGCTACACGAGGGCTATATGCGCTAGCGTCCCTAATTTAGCAGTGTAAGACTAGAGGGAAGGCAGCTAGT